CCAGGGTGGAGATTTTTCGAATCAGAATGGAACCGGAGGAGAGAGCATCTATGGGGACAAGTTTGAAGATGAAAACTTTTACTACATGGTACTACAGAGCTACTTTGCTGTGAAGGATAGTTCATCCAAAAATAAGAAGACTCACCATTTACTCCCCCTCATGTTGTTCCAGTCCTGTAATGCAAAAGTAGTAGTTAACGCTTCTCTTGAAAATTGTGGAAATCATGCTAAGATTCCGGTCACACCACCCTCCCCAACAGATGTCAAACCTTGTTTGATGCACATATTCGCTGACAGAATTGTCATTTTTTTGGTACATTTTTCCTTTAATCAAAGCCGTCAGTCTGTGTAATTGCTCAGAAATTGCTAGGAGATTAAATAAACCAAACACAGCACTTGATCTATCTCCCTGCGGCATTCACTAATTTCCTGGTGTCTGCTCGGAGGAACAAATGAGAAATAGATAAACCTTCTGTATGTCTTGTCAAATGAAGTGATGCTCTATTAATCCGGTTGTCTTTTGCCCCCACCAGCATGACAGAGAGGGGCTGCTCAGCATGGCGAATGCCGGCCCCAACACGAATGGCTCACAGTTCTTTATAACCACGGTTCCCACACCACACCTGGACAGCAAACATGTTGTCTTTGGCCAGGTGCTGAAGGGAATGGGGGTGGTGAAGATGCTGGAGGGGATAGAAACAAAGGACGACAATCCTGTCAAGGTGACAACTTTTACTCCTTAAATACATCAATGCGTTGCAACATCTGCCTTCATGCTTAGAAATATGTAGCGACAGAGATCTTAACCAGTCCTGAAGGACAGCTATTTCTGAGATCTTTCTTTTACAGGCATTTAGTCACCCTAATCAAGATTTAATAGTCATGAAATTTAGTCTGTCACATGTTCTGCACAGGTGAACTAGCTTAGTGTGATAAATGATTGTTTTGAAAGAAGACGTTATGTGTGACCATTTCTCTCTCCAATAAGGAAATCGAAGGAGTATTTTCCTTATTCCATTGAGCAACTGAATATTTAGATTGATTGTAACTGTCATATCTGTATCTCTCTCAGCCCTGCATCATTGCTGAATGTGGAGAACATAAAGCAGGTGATGACTGCGGCATCGCACCTAATGACGGCTCAGAAGACGCATACCCAGACTTCCCCGAGGACTCTTAACATGGACTTTAAAGATGTCATTATATTTCTGCATTTTCACTTGCATATATCCTATATATCACCTGCACCATAAAATGCAGAATCACTTTAACTTAAACACATTTAGAGTTTATGCTCTATAAAGGAAAAAGGAAAGTCTTAGCTTTATAATAATACTTTTATTTTTACTTATACACCACTGCCGAATTATAATAATTATTTATATTAAAATAAAATATTTATTTTAAAAATATTTATATTAAAATAAAATAAAAAAATCAATTATATTATTTATAAATATCAAAATATTATATATTATTATATAAAAATTTCATATATATAGCCAGTAAAAATAATAATATATAACATATTACAATGTATTATATAGTATGATAGCTGAAATGTGATTTACATGCTAAAAATGCAAAAAATAAAATTTTTTTACATTTTCTTTCAAGGCAAACAAAGTCTTGTCTGTGGCAGAGGATGTGAAAAACATCGGGAATAACCTCTTCAAGGCTCAGAACTGGCAGTCAGCCATCAAGGAATATTCAAAAGCTCTCAGGTGAACACTTGTCGAGTTTGCCATTAAGCCCCATTTTTACATTACGCTTGCACCGTGACATTAAAGAGACCGCTTTTCACACTTGATTTCAATTTGTCAAACCTTTTTAAACATGCTGTTATAGCTGAGTTTTCTTTCCTCAAAATGACTCATGTCATGATGACGTTCCCATAAGTACCTGTTTGATATGCAAGATTTCTAACTGTAATCTAAAGTTGAGCGTTGCTATACAACACTCTGACTGCAACATGTCTGTATGCATCATTGTAACTAAGCAGTGTCACTGAAGGTTATTTTGGTCCACAGGTATCTAGAGATTTGCAGCAACACCTTAGATGATGATAGTGCCCAAAAGAAGCTGGAGCCCACAGCCCTGAGCTGCATTCTCAACACGGCCGCCTGCAAACTCAAACTGAAACTCTGGCAAGAAGCTATCGAGAGCTGTGATGAGGTAACATGGGACCTTCTGACATTGAGCTGACTGAACGGTGTCCAGTTGCATCGGGGTTAGAGGATATAAGAAGCAACGGGCCTTGAGTTGTTTTATAGTGACATATTTTAGATATTCACCACGTCTCTCTATTTAGGGAACAGTTGAAATGGATTCAGATTTCTTGAAAGGACCTGAAGTGTATTTTCTTCTGGTTTGTCGGGTGATTGTGATGTTTGATTTATTATAACGTTTTTTTTTTTGTTTGTTTTTTTCAGGCCCTGGAGCTGAACCAGACAAACACGAAAGCGTTGTTCAGGAGAGCTCAGGTCTGGCAGGGGACTCAAAGAATTCAACAAGGCCATGGTACCCACACTACATAGACAGAAATACACATTCATCTCACTCTAAATCAGTTGTTCCCAAACTTTTTCAGTAAAACAAACAGACTACGATTCTCAGAAAAACTACCAAAAGTTGCAGATTTTGCATTCAGCTTAAAGGCAACTGTTAATTCAACATTAGTGCTTTCCGTCAACTTTTTTTAAATTAGCCACCAAGATAGTTTGAGAACCACTGCACTAAATGCCTCAACGAAAACAATGAAATTCTGGCATTATTTACTCACCCACATGACGTTCCAAACCTGTATGACTTTATTTCTTTCCATGTAGGTAGAATCTGGATTGGAGCTTTCAGGCTTCAAAAAAGGATGCATTACGAATAATCTTAATCTTTCACAGTTTCATTTAGAACTAGTTAAAGGGATACTCCACCCCAAAATGAACATTTTGTCACTTTACCCCATGTTGTTCCAAACCCGTAAAAGCTTAGTTCGTCTTCGGAACACAATTTAAGATATTTTGGATGAAAACCGGGATGCTTGTGACTGTCCCATTGACTGCCAAGTAAATTACTCTGTCAAGGTTCAGAAAAGTATGAAAGACATCGTCAGAATAATCCATCTGCTATCAGTGGTTCAACCGTAACGTTATGAAGCGACGAGAATACTTTTTGTACGCGAAAAAAACAAAAATAACGACTTTATTCAACAATTCGTCTCCTCTGTGTCTCTCCGCATCACTGTAGCGCCATTTTGGAGAATAACCACTGAATGCAAGCAGCGTACGCTATTCTGTGTCAGCCGCGCTGGTGATGCGGAGAGACACAGAGGAGACGAATTGTTGAATAAAGTCGTTATTTTTGTTTTCTTCGTGTACAAAAAGTATTCTCGTCGCTTCATAACGTTACGGTTGAACCACTGATGGCAGATGGATTATTCTGACGATGTCTTTCATACTTTTCTGGACCTTGACAGTGTAATTTACTTGGCAGTCAATCGTACAGTCACAAGCCTCCCGGTTTTCATCCAAGATATCTTAAATTGTGTTTCGAAGACGAATGAAGCTTTTACGGGTTTGGAACGACATTGGGGGTAAGTGATTAATGGCAAAATTTTCATTTTGGGGTGGAGTATCCCTTTAACAAGACTTATTATTCAGGAGAACCATTTAAGTCATTAGTAAACTACATATTCTCTAGGTCACATTTTAAGGGCAATTACTGAGTTTAGAGTATTTGGATGTATTTAAATGTCTTACAAAAATATAAAATTGCATCAGTTTACATGAGTTTGTTTATGGGCATTGGCTTAAGAGCAGTAATTTTTTTCTGTTTTTAAACTGCAGGTTGATCTGAAGAAAGCACAGGAGATCGCACCAGATGACAAAGGTTAACCAGCTCTTTACAAATCCTTAATTTTGTTTAAAAACATCTTTATGATTATGATTTGTAAAAAATTAGTTTTTACATTTCCCTTGCCCTGGTTTCAGCAATTGGAAACGAAATGCTGAAAGTGAAGCAGCAAGTGAAGGAAGAGAAAGAGAAAAGAAGATTTACACCAAAATGTTTGCATAACGGAAACTGCAGTGACCTCACTCCACACCAACCTACCTGCATATGTTTACTTTGCACTTGTGTCTTAGTGTTTAAATCTAAAGCTGGGTAAAAAGGCTTTGGAGTCTCTAATTTAGGATATATGCCATGTGCAGTTTGGAAAGAAAGTCATATCGTCTGCTGTGTTAGGAAACAATTTGTCTGTCAGTGAAGGGACAGTTTCAGTGCATTTTTAGTGAACTGATTTAAAGATGTCTTGTATTGATTACTGTTTAAGAAAGAATAGACTGACTTTAAAGACTATAATTTTTTTTGTTTCTGGGTTCATTTGTTTTAACTGCTGCTCATTCTATCAATCGATGATGAAAAAAGCTAAACTTTTTCTTTGTGAAATGAGAATCGGTCATGTCATTTGCGTGAAATAAAACAATGGATATTTTCAGGGACTTTTGGGTTTGTAGTTCTAGAAAACATACCAACAGATTGGAATAATTCATTTATTTCTACCTGTTACAGTTACCAAATTTGACAATATATACAAAACTGTCAGTTTACAGTTAACTGCATCATGGTGAGCTAAAAACGTCCACTAGTTGTTAATCCAACATGATCCTTTTTCTTCTGTGACATTCCTTAGACGTTATATATAAAATTCTTTCAAATGGTAGAGTTTATCAAAACTGAAATTTGCAACACCACTTTATGTAATTACACTTAAAGCTCATATCAGACAGGATATGAGGACATTCTGTTCCTTAGGCACATCAGAAGGGCTCTCAAGTCTTTAGAAGCTTTAGCCCTGAAAGTTGAGTAATGTGATTTTGAACTTGTGCGATGTACCCCAATAATAAAAACGATACGTAATACTGAAATCACATGCCATTGTAAGCTGGTCCTCCACTGCCCTCAGGCACAACCCAGTTGATGTTCTGGCTGAGGTCTTTGATATCACAGGTCTTACAGTGGACACAGTTCTGTGCGTTGATCTGTAATCTCATGCCATCGCCTGTCTCTAGAGGAACATACTCGTATACACCTGTGGGACAGCAGAGACAAAATGTCTAAACACTGGCAACTTGTTCAGCAGGTGTCTTCATCAACCTCATACTATCGAGCCTGTTGATCTTGTATTATTGTGTGCAACCGAAAGGCTAATTTGCAGGTTACCATTGACTCATTGCTAAGTGCAGCAGAGTGGATTAGTTACATACCAGCAGGACAGAACCTCTGCTCTGGGCCGTCTTAAACTGCAAGGTTTTGGGCCACAGGAACACTGTCATCTTTCAGCGTCAGATGGGGCAGCTGGTCATGCTCATGATTGGTCCCGCTCAAGGCTACAGATGACAACAGATCAAAGCTGATCTTCCCATCAGGCTTCGGATACTCGATGGGTGCACAGTCCTTAGCTGGCTTCAGCTGAGCAGAGTCCAGACCTAGAGAATATTAATTTGTTTCCCATTAGAAATAAAATACAAATGAATGGTGACTGATATCGGACACCCACTGCAGTAGTGAACTGAGAAGGAGTCTTGCATAGCAACGTGTCTGACTATCAGCATTAAGTCTGGCCCACACCGAAGCTAATTCTGTCTAAGAACTGCCTGCTCAGACAGGAAGGGGCCCTCTGGCTAGCCACAGTTAGTTATTTGCATATACAGTGGGTACGGAAAGTATTCAGACCCCCTTCAATTTTTCACTCTTTGTTATATTGCAGCCATTTGCTAAAATCATTTAAGTTAATTTTTTTTCCTCAATGTACACACAGCACCCCATATTAACAGAAAAACACAGAATTGTTGACATTTTTGCAGATTTCTTAAAAAAGAAAAACTGAAATATCACATGGTCCTAAGTATTCAGACCCTTTGCTCAGTATTTAGTAGAAGCACCCTTTTGAGAATACTTTCCGTACCCACTGTAGAAGCAGGTGAATCTGAAATGAGACAAAACTTTGAAATGAGAACAAAGCAGAATATACAATTGTGCTCAAGTATATGTTGTTCAAACAATATTCTTAAATAAGGATTAGAAGCCTCCAAAAGTTTAGAAATGCCTTGGACGAAGTGAGGTTTTGGACAATATCAGAACATTTATTTTTCTACATTTTGAATTATTAATATTTTATTAAAGTGTTTATTAAAACACAAACTATGAAAAGTCATCAGAAAGTTGCAAGGATTTATGCTAATATAGTCTAAAAACCCATGCACTTCTAGTTTCTCAGCTCTTCACAGAATTGCTTAAAGCAGCAACCGAGTATCAAAATTATTACATGTACATGTAACAGTAAATAGCACTTTGTGTAAATATTATTATTTGTAAACAAGAGAAGTAAAAAACAAATGTAAGTAAAAAAAAATGCACTCTTATTGTGTGTGTGTATATATATATATATATATACATATATATATATATATGTGTGTGTGTGCGTGTACATATATATATATATATATATAATAAATACAAATACATTGTACTGACTTTACAGCTCATAATACTGAATTTTCATCTATTTGCAATATTGTCTTTGATACAATGATCTAAACTAAAAGCTTGTTATAAACAAACATTTCATAAAGTGTTTCTTTGTTCTTACCATTATGTTTCAGAGTCCATGGTTCTTTTCCTCTCAAAAACCAGTAGAATATTCCAGTGTACAACATCCCTCCGTAGAGCCCAAAGTAGTTATGGAAAGATGGTCTGATGTTCCTCACAGCATACAACTCCTTCCAGATCCAGGTCTTTTCCAAAGCTTCCTCATATTCAGGAATATAGAGACCTAACAGAAAAAAAAAGCACACAAAAAAATTCTCTGTCTAGGACACCTGAACACCTTTTAATATGCTGAGAATATGTTTAATACTCTGTGAGCTACACCCCAGCTAATTTGCAAAGATGTCTGGGTTGGCTACCTGCTGTTTCTGACTGCAGATTCTCATCTGTGATTCTGTTGAAGGCAGTCTCGGCTGCCAACATGCCACTCTTCATGGCTGTGTGTGTGCCTTTGATCTTGGGCACGTTCATGAAGCCCGGACTACACCCTATCAGCATGCCGCCTGGGAACGTCAGTTTAGGAATCGACTGGAGGAGAGATCATGGATGTGAGAAGTTAAACAAGAAAAAAAAAGACAGAAGAAGAATTTAAATTGAGAATTTCAAGTCTGGCACTGGCATGCCTGGAAACCTCCTTCGTTGAGGGCTCTGGCTCCATATGCTATCCTGTTGCCACCCTCCAGGGTAGACATTAAAGAGGGGTGATGTTTCCAACGCTGGAATTCCCTGAACGGGCTCAGGTAAGGATTAGTATAGTCCAAACCTACCTGAGGAGACATGTATGAACATATCTGCAGTTCACCATAATAGAATAACTGCACTGACCCTTTGCAAAGCTCCACCCTCCTTGCTTACTGTTGCCTTACAGAGAGCTGAACTGGATGATGACATCACTTAATCATCAATGAACTGACTTTAGCTGGAAAAATTACTCTTTGTTATTGTCCTCTTGCATTATTGACAAACTATTTTCCTGTTTGACACTGTAAAGCTGCTTTGACACAATCAGTATTGTATAAAGCGCTATATAAATAAAGGTGACTTGACTTGACTTGCCTGCTAAGATGAGCCGAGAGAAGGACTACAATATAATAGTATTTGTCCCAAATACCCTACCATTCAAAAGGTTGAGGTTGGGTTTTTTTGGTTTTTCAGTCTCTTATGCTGACCTAGTCTGCATTTATCTGATCAAATATACAGTATAAACTTTAATATTGTGAAATAGCCTTTTTCTATTTTAATATATTTTAAAATGTAATTTTTACTCCAGTTTTCAGTGTCGCATGATCCTTCAGAAATCATTCTAATATGCTGATTTTGTGCTCAGGAAATATTTCTTATTATTATCAATGTGGAAAACAGTTGTGCTGATTAATATTTTTGTATAGGATTCTTTGATAAATAGAAAGTTATTTAAAGGGTTAGTTCACCCAACAATGAAAATTCTGTCATTAATTACTTGCCCTCGTGTTGTTCGAAACCCGTAAGACCTTCGTTCATCTTCGGAACACAATTTAAGATATTTTTGATGAAATCTGAGGGCTCTCTGACCCTCCCATAGACAGCAGGGTAACTACCACGTTCAAGGTCCAGAAAAGTACCAAGATGATCGACAAAGTAGTCTGTGTGAAATCAGTGGTTCAACTGTAAAGTTACGAAGCTACGAGAATACTTTTTTGCGCAAAGAAAACAAAAGTAACGACTTTATTCCACATTTTCGTCTCTACTGCGTCACTTGTGGATGTGCGTTCACGACAGTATCATGACGCGAGCGTGTGGCGGCGCCGGCACTGACCCAGATCCGACGTGATGATACTGTCGTGAATGCACGTCCACAAGTGACGCAGTAGAGACGAAAATGTGGAATAAAGTCGTTATTTTTGTTTTCTTTGTTCAAAAAAGTATTGACCCGTTGACCCCAGACTTTAGAACAGTAGTGTATCTCAAAACTGCAACGCCTCTGTTATCAGCTCAGCAAGCGGATGAAATGTATTTAGGGGACAAACAATTCAGAGCAATCATGAGATTTGATTTAGTTCTGTCAATCAAACCCTGCACTGTATGTCCAGATAACTGTGACCAATCAGACTGAGTACCATCCTGGGCCATGACGACATTGGATAATAGCCGTCATCACTGCGGAACTCCTCAAGACATCTGGAATTGAGACCATTTTCTACGAATCAGAAGCATTCCGTAACATGCCTCTTTTAAAAGTGATGGAAAAAAAAATGTAATTTTGATATGCTACATTATCAGCAGGATGAGAAAATGTCCTCATGACCCTGACCAGGAACAACTTCAAACTTTGAAATCCTTTTCATACTCTCTTGCCTATCGTTTTCACCCATGAAAGAACATGATGAATGAGGTCAATAATATCTATACAGATCTAAGCATTTGGACAAAGACATCAATCCAGAACATTCTGCTTTAAGGTAAAAGCTTCAAAGAGGACTCTTGCGAGTCCAATGAAATACTTCAGAGTTTGACCCAGAAGGCTCAGGAATAAGATGACTTACAACAAATCCCAGGGCCACCAGTGGTTCTCCCTCATTGAGGTGGTACAGGAAGGAGCCTCCGTATGTGTTCCTGTTCAGAGGCCAGCCAACCGAGTGCTCTGCCCGTCCTGGGCGCCACTTCTTCTCATCAATAACCCAAAGCTAGAAGAAAGCAGATTTATTATTATTATTTGTATATTAAATATTGTTTATTATGTTTAAAATTATGGCTATAATATAATATAATATAGAATTTATATATTTCAACAAAAAATATATTTTATTACACAAAACATATCTTTTTCTATGTATGTATGTATATATATATATATATATATATATATATAGCAATTGAATACTAATATTAACACTACATGCTAATGAGACTAAAGAATAGTTCATTAAAAATTGCATCAAGCTTTTTAATGAAAGCAATTAACCCCAAACGTTAAAATGAACTAACTGATATCACTACAAATGTTGTCAGTGAAAGAGAAAGTTACATCAATCTGAACATGGAAATATTCATGTATGCTATGCATGTTTAAAACATCATCCAAGCGAGAGTGTTTTTGTACCTCTTTGAGACCGATAGCATACGTCTGCGGTTCACAGTTCTCCCTGAGATTGAACTGCTTGTAGAGTTGCTTGGCCAGATGTCCGTGGCAGCCTTCCCCAAACAGAGTGACCTTAGCGTGGAGCTCCATGCCTCTTTCAAACACATCCTGGAGGAGTTCAACAGAGCGTGAAATGTGGTGTTAATAGCACACGAATATGCTATCTGCATAGCAGAATCACTTTACCCACCGTTACCCTTTTATTTTTTCCTACTGCAATATTCCGCTGTAGTTCAGAAAGTCATTTAGCCTTGGTGTGAACATTCAATGGACTGTTTTAGACTTGAATTATTTTTCTTATGAATATAAAATCACATAAAAGGTGTGTTTAGTTGTATGTGTATTTAGTGCATTCGTATATTCTGCTCTGGAGCGGATATTGACATATACAACCTAATGGTGATGACAAACCTTTGGAGAGCCATCTTTACCAATACCAACATCATTGGTTGCAATTCCCTTCACACTTCCATCCTCATGAAACAGCACCTGTGTAAAAAAAAAAGAAAGGTTGATATCTCAAAAAACTTTACATCCCACAATGTGGCTTATTTTAAATGTTATTATTATTTTTATTTATTTGTTTATTACTTTTATCTACAGCAACTTACAGAACCCTTATAAAGCATTTCCCTGTCTTTTAACCAATTAACTTCTTATATTCCACGACTTTTCAGTTATTTTCAATTGCTGTATATTTTAAAAATAATACCTTAATAGAGACTTTATACAGAATATATACTGCTTACTACATGAAACAGCAGTCCTGAAGCCTGTTGCATGAAGCCTGGTTTCAGTTTTTACCCAGGTAAGTTCGCATTTAGTTTGAGCAAACTCTGAGTTTTCAGTCTCTGGAAGATGGGTTGGTTTTGAGCAGGTTTCGTCACCATGGTAATTTACGCTACACGGCTACCCTGCTCCGAAGCAGGTTTTATTCTGGGTTAGAAATCGCAAACTGGAAACTGGACCAATCAGCTGTAAGCAAAGTGACATCTATCTGATGCAATAAAGCCACTCCCCTGTATCTCTTGCTTCAAATTAAAGCAGTTTACGGTGAAAGAGTTTTAAAGACAAAATTGCCCATCTTTTGCTGCTAATATTCATATTATATGAATTATAATTATTTGCTCAAACTTTTACTGCAGCAACAGTGTTTATTCCTGCCTTGTAAATGCATTTAAATTCATTATATATTTAATAATGACATCCTTAATCTTCAACAGAGAAGTGAATTGCGCAGACTCTTGCGAGAAGTGAATCAAAACGATGCTATTCTGTGTGACTGGCTGTTTGCTACACGTGTCACCCTTTAAAGTGCAAGCACCCTAGAGTTAATCACAAATTCTGGATCAAGCTCTAAGTTGACAGAGAACGTTTATATCGAGCTTTGTGAGCCCGCTGAACCTGATCTAAACAAGGTTGGATTTGTTTGGTTTTGTCAACATTAAACCTACTCTGAAACTCAGAGTTTGTTCAACTAGCTTTATGCAACAGGCCGCTGAAGTTAAGTAACATATTCCAGGTTATGATTATAGTGCACTGATCATCATGTGGGGTTTGGACCTACAAGTTACCAATCCAGACCTTTAACAAGTACAGAACATCACTCACAATACAAATTACAAGTACACAAGCAGGCCTAAATAATATAAGCATTCAGATAAGGAAGGCAATCTGACCTCAGCTGCAGCGTAGCCTGGATACAGCTCCACTCCCAGCTCCTCTGCCTGCTCACCAAGCCAGCGTACAAAATTGCCCAGACGAACTAGGTAATTTCCATGGTTATTCATTGGAAGTCCTGTTCACAAATTGCATTTAATAGAATCCATGTGACTCAACCAGTCTTAAAAAGCTTTAATAGTTTGTATAGGTTACAAAACCATTCAGGACATAGTGGCACATGTAGACCATATATATTTTCACATTATGTAACTCTCATTGTGTGAAGCTCTTTAAGTCTCTAAAGTGGGTCTTATGCACCTACCAGGCAATATTGGAACGGGAATGCGGTATTTTTCTGTCAAAATGGAAAACTTGTCCTCTGTAACTGGAGTGTTCAGTGGAGCCTGTTAGACACAAGTCAAAATCAGTGTCTTGGCCATCATGGGCATCTTTTTTTGTGGTCCATGTGTCATTTTTAAACATGCTTAAAAAATTCAGGGAGTCGGCCCAATTTTCACCAGTGTATAGGCTCTCCCATATTACCAAATCACATACATCCACATCACATACACTAGAGCTATGCATATTAATTATAGCTCAGTGGCTACTAGGCGACCCCATATCATGCAGTAACAGACACACACACACACAAATCTCTCTAGTTGTTTTTGTTGAAAGGAATGGCTATGCTGTTCTCTGCTGAATGTGCTCCACTAAAGGTGCTTCTGAAATAAATGAGGGTGCTCTAGCCTTAATACACATCTATTTTGTGCCATTCATAGCTATGGCACAAAGAGCACTCCCTTTTATAATCACTAAAAAGCTGTCACTCATTTTAGTTCATTGCGATCTCGCAAAGTTAAGTTATAATCAATATAATCAGCTCTCTACTACACTGTTCAATGAATCTACTTTTTTTTTACATCGCGTCTACATTTTGTATTATGATTCGCAAGCATGCAGAATTCAGTGCTGGACAAAACTCCAGGTTTGCGAGCGGTGAGTGGATTCTAACATAAACGCCTCTTTAATTTAAACACCCCTGTGGGACAGGGCCAGTCCCTGCAATTCACCAAATCTTTTGCACACATCTTTTAATTTTATTTTCATTTTCTATCTGAAGCTATATAGCAGCAACATTGAAAAGCTCTATATCTCTGTTTAGCACGAAAGCTCAAGCAATTGCCGCCGGCTTGCTGTGCAGTACAGTCATGGCGTGAACCAACTGACTTGTAACGTGTGCAATAGCTCACGACCTCCCGAGCGTCCGAATTCGCACCGTGTACGTCCGGATTGTGTGTTAAGAGATCCTATGTGTGGTACAGTATGCATGTGTGTGTTTGTTTGTACCCCTCTCTCCTTCCAGTCTGGAATAAGCTCATTGAGAGCAGTAGCCTCTAGACAGGCTCCAGATAACGTGTGAGCTCCGATCTGAGATGCCTTCTCCACCACACAAACCCGCAGCTCCTTCTCATGCCGATTGGCCAGCTGCTTCAGCCGGATGGCTGCTGACAGGCAGGCTGGTCCGCCACCAACAATGACAACGTCTGCCTCATCAGCGAAGCGTTCCATTTCCACTCCTGAACATATGAAAACAGACAATCACAGTGTCAATCACAATTATCTGTTTTTAAAGGGGTCATATGATGCGATTTCAATTTTTCCTTTCTCTTTGAAGTGTTACAAGCTCTTGGTGCATAAAGAAGATCTGTAAAGTTGCAAAGACTAAAGTCTCAAATCCAAAGAGATATTCTTTATAAAAGTTCAGAGTCAG